GCACAATTAGATATAATTGAGATCATGAACACAAAAGGAAATTGCGCACCACAGGATAATTATACACGACACTCAACAGATGGAGTTGATCGACACAAGCAAGTGTTGAATGATTGCCAAGTCAAGTTTCAGTTCTTTGCCACAATATCTCACGCAAGTTTTTAGGTGATCGTAAAGCAAATTCGAACTAATGTAACTCCTGGTTGCCAAATACAAGAGTCACAGGGGGTTGAATGGTTGAAATGGGTACAAATGAATATTCGAACTCAACAAATAGCAAATCGATGTACAATGGTTAACAAATTTAATATTCAACAAAATCAATGGCCTTTGTACAAGTCACGCAACGTATTGTAGCCAAGTAGAAATTCAATACGGGTAGCAAATTGTAGAATAAACACGATGTGGGACTTGTAGGTTAGGCGCAGTCGTAGATTTGTAGGATAAATTGTAGATAAGTTGTAGCACAAGTTGTAGCGTAAATTGTAGCATGAATAGATTGTAGATTGTAGGTTCGAACTGAAACATGACAATAAAATAAACTACTTAACTATGTTACTTAATGCATGCGAAAACTAACACACAAATGTCATTGACTAACAAAACTAACAAGCACATACAATACTGTAAAACTTACGTACTTTGGTTTACACTTGTACCAAACGAGTAGCGATGAATTCAATAGCAGTTCTTCGTACAAATACGTAGAAATGTCCCTTTCAGTTTAAATAGCTTGTAGCAATTACACGTCCTTACTCTGACGCAGTCACAACTTTACTAACTCACGCTATCTAGTCTATTAGGAACATATGGTATAGCCGTTTCCGTCCTTGTATCAATAAAATTAACTATATTATTAACTAAAACATAATGAACTAATTTTAAGTAAGCGTTTCAAACCAACAGGGTCAGGCGTCGAATAAGATTTAGTAATCTTAGCAACATTAACAAATTATTACTAACATTAATGTGGCTTCGAAAATACCCATGTTTGAACACTATGGTATTGTTATTCGACGTCAGCCCTTCTACAGTTTCACACATAATCCACAGCGTTTTCCGATCTTGTGGAGATTCTTCCATAACCAGGTACATTGGCCCACTGTCGATGAATGGAATGCTCTACGAGGAAATTGGCAAGTATTCCCTAATGCTGTTGGCTATCTTGACGGAACACCACACGAGATATATCGACCCCAAGTGGAGCCCCAAAGGGAATTCTACAATGGCCATCGCCATTATCACCTTATGAACACACAACTGATCGTCGATAACTTAGGCAATATTGTATTTCTTCATGCTGGTTTCCTTGGAGCACAAAATGATGCTATCAATTTTCTTTTTATGGAACGAATCGGACCTGGAACTAATTTCGACATGCCCCCAAACGCATACCTTTTGGCAGACAAGGGGGATACGCCGACGTACATCCATTACTCGCACCTTTTCGTGCCGTCCAGATTCGACGTATGGCGATGCACTACCAAAGACGCGCACGACGTTTTAACCGTAGGCTGTCTAAATGCCGGGTAATTGTTGAACATACCATAAAACATGTAAAGACATA